AGATAGATAGATAGATAGATAGATAGATAGATAGATAGATAGATAGATAGATAGATAGATAGATAGATAGATAGATTCTGGAGCTATATCATTTCAGAACAAGCAGTTCTTGCCTCTCTCAGAAAAAAGTAAACATTGAAGATACCTATGAACTATTTACCTGCAATTGAGATACAAGTTATAATCCTCTATAGTAATTATCTTAAAACACCAAATACTTAGGGTTCATAAATATATGAACTTGGAGAAAATAAATGGTGCTGAAGATGTCAACAACTCTCCACCAGTATTTGGCCTTGGAAAGCAACGGATTACCTACAAAGGAATATAGTTCTTGACAGAAAAGAAGTTGTATTCAAGAACTTGGAAAACATGGCTTGTACATATTGTTATAGCATATATGGCCTTTAGTGTGTAGCTAATATAAACATATAACATACAAATCAGGAATGCTTTCACAAGGGGCTAGTCTGTCATCTGTCTAACTAGGATTATTTTCAGATTTATAGTATATTCCTGACTTCCAAATGCAAAATCTCTCATCTGCTTAATATTCCTATATCTTACTGTTGGAAAAGTCTTATTAGGCATGATTCTCATATCCTGAATTTTAAGCAAGGAAAATTACTCTTTTCAATATGATTTTAATTAATTTCAGGTCTATCTCTTAACAGGCTAATATTGCCACAGCAGCCAATGTGGTATAATATTTATAGCAGCCATCAGCAATCTAATTAGTGTTTTCCTGATGTGTTGGACTATTATTTTAATTCCCACAGATAGGGATGATAGAATATTTTGGGGTGTTTGCTACTAAAACATCTACAAAGTAATATTTAGTTAGAGGATCCTGGTTTATAAAGCCACCATTTGAATTCAATTGATATTCCTTAAAACTGGCTTTAAAAATCTCACTAGGGTAATTACCAAATATACTTAAAATAATATAATCTAGCATAAATCAGTATAGCATGTATCCCATCCCAAGTCTAGTAAATTGAGACAAGTAGCCTTATGAGAAAAGGTGTTCTTCGTAATAACATCCTGGCTACAAGATGTTATTATGAGAGCCTTGCTAGGTACCTTGGTTTTTTTTTTTTGCAATAAATTCATTGCCCTTATAATTGACTACAAAAGGAGAGTTCCAATATTTGATATGGGTTTTGTTCTATATTCTGAGTTGCTAATTGGTTTTACTTCCCCCTTGCAGTGAGGGAAATATGCTGTATTCATGATTATCATAACATAATGAATGCTATACAAAAACCAATCATTACCAGAAAAAAAAGAGGGGGAAAAAAGAACGAATGCTTGCTTTTTTTTAAAAGACACATTTTTTCCATTTTTTAAAAATCACTATATCAAATCTCATCTTTTGACTGTTTATTTAAATCCTGACATCCATGTAAAGCTTATACAACAGTAATAATAATAATATTAATTTTAAAGATTGAAATTATATTACTATGGATCTGTTCCTTTCCTTTTTCCTTTGTTTTATTTTTTCTGTTAATTTTTACTTAATTAATAACAATGTATATTTTAAAATAAATTATTACCAGCATTACCACAAATTCTTCTCATTTTGATAAAAATATGGTTAAGTTTTCAAATATAACATTTTATTAATATCATTACTTTAGACCATGTTTATTTCCTTCATAGAATGTAGCAGATATTAAGAAGCTGAAATCAGTAGGAATTTGCACAATCAAAGGGATTCAGATGACAACTAAGCGGGCATTATGTAATGTGAAGGGACTTTCTGAAGCCAAAGTAGAGAAGATAAAAGAAGCAGCCAACAAACTTATAGTAAGCAAATTATCCCTCAAGATTTTCTTTATAATTATTTCTTACTGGAAGCCTGAGAATGTAAATAGTTCTCAACTTACAACTGTTCATTTAATGACTGTTCAAAGTTACAACAGCACTGAAAACAATAACTTATAACCAGTGTTCACTCTTACGACTGTTGCAGCATGCCCATGGTCACATAATCAAAATTTGGATGCTTGGCAACTGGTTTAGATTTATGATGGTTGCAGTGTCCCGGGATCATATGCTCAGCCTTTGCAACCTTTTGACAAACAACGTCAATAGGAAAGCCATGTTCACTTAACAACCATGTTGCAGTGGTTCACTTAACAACTTTGGTACAAAAGGTCACAAAATGGGGCAAAATTCATTTAACGAATATTTCGCTTAGCAATAGAAATTTTGGGCTCAGATGTGGTCATAAGTAGAGGACTACCTATATATAAAAATCTTCATTACCTTCAATATAATTTAAAACCAGTTAAACAGGTGTAATTAATATATTCTAAGAGAAGCACTTCTGAAAACAAATAATCTATGGACAGTGATTACAAATGAACAATGGCTATAATGAATTTTTATTTCCTGTTTGGCAACATTGGATGAAACTTTTATGTGACATATGTTGGTCCCTTGGAATTTGATTAATTGTAAGTTTTAACGAATTTCTTAGCTATTTCTTTAGCCATTTCTTAGCCATTTTCTTGGGAAACTCAAAGTTGTTACAGTATTACCTTTGTAGCCTTGAGTTTTCCCATTAGTTCTGATTTCCAGTTTTCCAACTGATCCTATTTTTTTACATTGTTGTTTGTTTGTAACTTTTTGACATGACTTTTGCCCATTCTCTGCTTTTTCCAACATTTCTCACTCATTCTTCATTATACTATAGAAACAATTAATATAAATATTATAGTAGTAATAACCAACATATATCTGTATTTTTAGAAATTACAATAACTAAAAACACTAATAAGTATTATTTAATCCTCGAGTTACAACTTTAATGAAGGCTCTCCAATATGGTTGTAATTTGTGATATTTGTAAATTAGGTCATCCATGTGACCAAGCAGATTTAATTACTTTTTTGTGGTGGTCATTAAGTAAACACCACAGTCATTAAGCAAACCAATGGCTCTCCATGGACTAGTTTTGCAAAAAACTAGAAATAAATGCTTGTTTTTGGAAAAATATAAAAACAAAACACAATCATATAACTGCAAATGGATGTATGTGTGTGTTTAGCCATTGGAACTTTAAACCCAGGTTGTAAATTCCACCAGGGAGATCCATCATAATTTTGAATGATCACTAAGCGACTAGTCATATGTCAAGGACTATCTGTATGTGATTCACTAAACTTGAATATACCACATTTTCTAGGCAAGCATTTACAATAGAATAGAATAGAACAGAACAGAACAGAATAGAACTGGAAGAGACCTTGGAGGTCTTCTAGTCCAGCCCTCTGCTAAAGCAGGAGAACCTGTATCATTTCAGACAAGTGACTGTCCAGTCTCTTCTTAAAAACCTCCAGTGATGGCGCACCCATGATTTCTGGAGGCAAGCTGTTCCACTGGTTAATTGTCCTCACTGTTAGGAAGTTTCTCCTTAATTCTAGGTTGCTTCTCTCCTTGATTAGTTTCCATCCATTGTTTCTTGTCCTGCCCTCTGTTGCTTTGGAGAATAATTTGACCCCCTCTTATTTATGGCAGCCTCTGAAATACTGGAACACTGCTACCATGTCACTCCATTTCTTCTTTTCTTTAGACCAGCCAAACCCAAGTCCTGCAGCCATTCTTCATATGTTTTAGTCTCCAGGCCTTTGATGATCTTAGTTGCTCTTCTCTGAACTTTTTCCAAGGTCTTAACATCTTTTTTGTAGTATGGTGACCAAAACTGGTTGCAGTATTCCAGGTGTGGTCTCACTAGGGTTTTATAAAGCAGTATTAATACTTCACGTGATCTTGATTCTATGCCTCTGTTTATTCAGCCCAGGATTCTACTAGCTTTTTTGGCTGCTGCTGCACACTGCTAGCTCATAGTCAAGAGAACGTCCACCAGAACTCCAATGTCCCTCTCACGGTTACTGTTTTTGAGCCAGGTCTCACCTAATCTGTATTTGTACCTTTGGTTTTTCCTGCCTAAATGTTAAACTTTGTTTTTCTCCACACTGAAACTCTGGGGTGTTGGCTATTCCTGCCAGTTTATTGTCATCTGCAAATTTGATTAGTTCCCCTTCTATTCCCTCATCTAAGTCATTGATAAAGATATTGAAGAGTACTGGGCCTAAGACGGAGCCTTGTGGTACCTCACTGCATACTTCTCTCCATGTGGATGTAGTACCATTGAGGACTACTCGTTGAGTACAATTTGTCAGACAGCTACAAATCCATCTGGTGGTGATGTTGTCTATTCCACCTTTTTCTAGCTTACCAAGCTGTGATCTACTTTGTCGAATGCCTTACTGAAATCTAAGTATACTATGTCCACAGCGTTTCGCTGGTCTATTAATTTGGTCACTTTATCAAAGAATGAAATAAGATTGGTTTGGCATGATCTGTTTTTAACAAACCCTTGCTGGCTACTAGTTATAATTTTGTTTGCTTCTAGTTGTTCGCAGATCTGTTTTTTGATTATCTTTTCCTGGATCTTCCCAGGTATTGATGTTAGACTGATTGGTCTGTAGTTTCCTGGGTGTGGTTTTTTTCCCTTTCTTGAAGATGGGAACCACATCAGTTCTTTTCCAGTCTTCAGGTACTTCATTCTTTGATAAAGTGACCAGCTCAAAATGGTGGAATAGACAACATCACCACCAGATGGATTTGTAGCTGGCTGACAAACTGTACTCAACGAGTAGTCCTCAATGGTACTACATCCACACGGAGAGAAGTATGCAGTGGGGTACCACAAGGCTCCGTCTTAGGCCCAGTACTCTTCAATATCTTTATTAAGATGTACACTGGATCTGTCTGATGTAGTGCAAACCCATACAGATTTAATGATGATAAATAATTTTATGACTTGCCTTGCCACAGTTGTTAAGTGAATCACTGCAGTTGTTAAGTTAGTAACACAGATGTTAAATGAATCTGGCTTCCCTATGATTTGCTTGTCAGAAGGTTGCAAAATGTGATCACATGACCCTGGGATACTGCAACCATCATAAATGTGAATCAGTTGCCAAATGTCTGAATTTTAATCATGTGACTACCGAGATGCTGTAACAGCTAAGTGTGAAAAATGGTCATAAGTCCCTTTTTTCAGTGCTGTTGTACACTTTGAATGGACACTAAATAGTTGTAAGGCAAGGACTATCTATATACTGCTATCACTACTACATGGTTAGGAGTTTTGATCAAAGATAATATAATTGTTTGCTTTTATTACTTGCATTATGTGTTCAGTGTATAAAGCAATTTACCAATCTTAAATGACAGTGACATCAAGACATATTAAATACTTTCAACTTTTTCCCCAGGAACCAGGGTTTCTGACCGCTTTTGAGTATAGTGAGAAGCGAAAGATGGTATTCCATATTACCACTGGAAGCCAGGAATTCGAGTTAGTACAATATTGCCTATTCTGCCTATTAAAGAACAAGCTATTTTAAAATTAATTAAATTAATATATAGTGTACTATATAAATTAATATATAGTGTACTGTATATAGTGTACTATATAACTGAGCATCACTAGATTGTAATGGGGTACAAGTTTAATAAATTTAAATGGTTGCTTTGGATTATAAATAAAGTTCTGGAAAAAAATAAAAGGGAATATTCTGATTAATATCCACTCTATTTTACAGTTCCCTCTTTTGTAATATCATGTATCAAGTAAATAACTGATTTTACTACCATCTCTTGGTATTGTTAAAGTTACATTTTAATCTCATTTTTCTGTTAAGCAATAAATTATTCCTAGCGTCCTATATATACACTCCATCAGCTCCCATTCTGTCAGATGCAAGCAATCAGATCCACATGTGAAGAGTTCACTTAGGAGTTCAATTAGGTGTTTTATTGCTCAAGCCTATAGGCAGGAATCGTCTTACCCAGATTTGCGTCTGGGTGAGACTAGATAAGGTTCAATGGCATTGCAAGGGGAAGTCAGATTTTGCCCTCTTTTGCCCATGTAGGAATTCCAGATTAATTCCTCATTTGATTCCTCCCCCTGGCTTGGCCAGTCTCACTCCTACTATACATCCCGTGATTTTAAGTTTTTTTCTTTCTTCCAGTAAACTCCTAGGTGGTGGGATTGAAAGCATGGCTATCACAGAAGCCTTTGGAGGTTAGTGAAAATATTAGGGAATAATTCCCTAAAGCTATAGGAATTATAAGTATATTGAACAGGCACTGTATTTTGATTTGTGTGTAGATATTTAAAAGTCATAATCTTTTTAGAACTGGAAACAGCTATGCCTTTTTTTTTGTATTCTGGGATATACCATATACTGGTTGTAGTATATTAATTTATAATCTAGATCAGTTTTTTTAGTGTGATACCATTCAGGTTGGGTAGAATTCCCTGAAGATATTTGGGTTGTGAATTCTCGTGGTAGTCATTCCAGAGCATCTTTATCATGGCTAATTGGGAAAGCTGCTTTAAACCCTTAAATCCATTATTAAAATGATTTAATACCATCTTAATAATATGTAAATATTTTTTAAATATTTGAAATCTGTATCACTTCATAAATGTTGTTTCTAGTTGAATTGAGTGGAACTTCAAGTATATACTAGGTAGGTATCTACTAGGTAGACCACACCTGAAAATCAACTTCACAGGACGACTAAAGCTACACTCAATAACAGAATCTTGCAGTCTTTCTTCTTATACTCCAGTGAATCAGAAGGACTATCTGAATAACTTCTGAATACTATCTTCTTCCTCAGACTTCAAGAATATTTCAACCCTATCTGCCTATTTCTGTCAAACCATCTTCCTTTCCGCATCAAATGTCTCTACTGAGTGGTTTTCATATTAATTTCATTGGATAATGAAGTTCTGCATGTTATCATGCATATACAATCGATCCTTCTATTATGTGAGAATATAAATAATGTTTTTATATAAAAGCATACATCCCTATAAAAGGGAGTTCATCTGAACACTGGAGCTTTTGTGCCAGTAGATATGGTTTCAAAGAGGTAGTTGTGTTAGTCTTTGAAACAAAAAACAAACAAACTTTGGACTAACTAACTATGGTATCCTTGCATGACTGACTTCCCCTGTTTACAATATTTCACTTTTTAAATTTTTGTTTTTATAGAATTCCGAACAGGCAAAACTCAACTTTCCCATACTCTTTGTGGTATGTACCAAGTAATAGTTATATTGAAAATTGCATGTTCAATATGCAAAAATATGCTGATGGTATTTAAAATCAAACACACACAATGTATGAACATTCTAAATATTATACTAGCTGAAGAAATCGCTTTCTTCTCTACAGTGGTGGATTGTATCTCTTACTTGGTAAGGATAACACTAATCCTGCCTTCAGCCTTTCTGACTCCTTAGTATAAAAGCAAGTCCCTAGATGCCACATTACAGAGAAATGAGTTATACCGTGTATTTAAAGCAGCCATATTCTGAGAGAAAGAACTATAGGAATTGTCTTCTAGTCTTGGTCTGGCATGTTTCTTAGCAATATCATCTACCTGGAGGTATTTTCCAAAATCATTACAATAGAAGAAATGTTTTAAATGCTCAGGCTCAGAACTTTATCAGAATCTCCATGCTGGTGGAAAGAAGAGCAGCCAGGCTAAGCAGATTATACTAGGTATGCAGCTGGCATATCATCAGATCAGAATACTTGATACGATGAGATTTCGTCCATTGTTTCTGACAACATCCATTTTACAGCATCCTCAGAGTTTTCTATTTTACTATATTATACAAGGTGGGTGTGAAGGAAATAGTACCTATACCACTAGAATATTCTCATCCAGGGCTGCAGCAATATTTCCAGTCCCTTTTTATCTGCAAATATTTATTTGTACAGAATTTAAGACAACATACAACATACAAGGAAGAAAATACAAATATATAGCCAATATAAAATACAATAACAAAAACAAATCTATATGATGGCCTTACCACCATTAGTACTCATATACCCTGGGAAATGCCACGTCTAAAATGATTTTAGAATAAGTTAAATTCTTTCATTTTGATGTTTACTCCTACTTAACATAATAGCATGGAGCTTTTGATGCAGAGGCCCATAGAAAAAGGGAGATTTAATGTAAAATCCATTCATTGTTTTGACAGTAACCCTTTGATTTTGGATATTTGAAAATTTGTTACTATTATTATTCATTTAGTGACAGCCCAACTTCCAGGAACAGATGGATATACAGGAGGGAAGATTATTTTCATTGACACGGAAAACACATTGTATCCTGAATATATTATGTCGACTAAACATGGTGAAAGGATTTGCTATACAGTGTTAATAATACATTTTAAATTTGAGTTTATGGTACAACATAAGCAGAAGAGACATTTAATGTATAGACAGGAGAAGGTGAATGCTAATTAAATGCAAATTTACTATATGAAAGGCAGTGGAGAGATCTTCCCATCTGCCACTCATTTGCAATGTATTGCAATACCTAGTTGGATTCTACATGTTGTTCTCCCAATTTTCAAGACACAAGCATTTTCACCATGAGGTTTGTCAGTCTGGAACTCATGGAGAACATCTTCAAGGTGAATCCAAAGTTGTGAAAACAGTATGTCAACTAATTTGCTTCCCTAAGTTAGGCAGGATGTTACATGCAAGAAACTAAGAAGCAGGCAATATGGCGAAAAGTCACTAAAATGGGAAAACACATAAACACAGGATGAATTTAATGGAACATGAATTTAATTTGTCCTTCAAGTGAGGCAAAAATACAAATATATATTTTAGTTGTAAGTTTTGGAAATTTGCATTGCATCAAGACTAGTTTGTAAGTAACATCTGGCAATCAAAAGAACATGGTTACTAAAAGGGGGGAATTAGCATCTGGAAGTGCTCAATTTTGAGGAGATATTTATTTTTATATATGGGCTTCAGCTATATATCTGAAAACTGAATTAAAAATCAGATACCTTAACTAAGAAACAATTCCAGTCGTCCAGACCGCTTACGTGACATTGCTGATCGCTTCAATGCAGATCATGAGGCAGTTCTTGACAATGTATTGTATGCACGGGCTTATACTAGTAAGATTGCAACAAGGTGGCACAGAAATCCTGTTCACTTTAAGAAGGAACAATTATGCATCAAGGGGTTATCACTGGAATTTTCTATTTTTCAGTTTGTGTTTCTGTTGTGAATATACTCAGGGTACTTTTCACATAAGATTGAGTTATAAAATTTCCCAAAATCTGAACATATTATCTATCAGTTTATTTCTCCTCCTGAAAGAAATATTTATATTGCCTTACCCTGAAACCATATCACTGCATTATATGAATTTTGTACAGTGAGGTTTGTTTATAGCACACAGGGGACTCTTTTCTTAAGGAAATTCATGCAATAAAGCTAATTTCATTTCTTTTCTAATATTCTGTATTAAAAACTCTTCTAAATGTTTATTTAAAGTTATTGTGATAAGACCGTATTTTTGCAAGCTTTACAAAGTAAATTAGATCTTATTAAGTAAATAAATACATAAATTAGGTAAGTTACATCAAATGTCTGAACATGACATTACACATGACTTCTATATGGAAATATTGCAGAATTATAAGCAATATTTATAATTAGGTATATAAACATTAATATGACCTGAGCTAGAAATGAATATTAATTACCATGCTTTGCAGAATTTTCAAGAGAGGATTTCAAATATTAAGTATTTAGCTTCTTTTGGAATTATTTTATAGTAGTTTTAAAAATAATGAGCTAAAGATACTAAAGATTTAGTTACGTCTGTTGTAACAAGAACTCAACTACAATACATCTTGGTCTATCTAGTAAGTACTTTTTTCTGATTTAAAACAAGTGTTATTATTATTACTATTTCTTCCTTGAAAGGTGAGCATCAAATGGAACTACTTGATTATGTTGCTGGCAAATTCCATGAGGAACCTGGCATCTTCAAACTACTGGTATATATTTTATAGTCCTGTTTATTATATGCTTCAATCAATCAATCAGTCAATCAATCAATCAGAATAGAGCTGGAAGGAACGTTGGAAGTCTTCTAGTCCAACCCCCTACTCAAGCAGAAGACCTTATACCATTTCAGACAAGTGTCTGTCCACTCTTTTCTTAAAAACCTCCAGGGATGAAGAACCCACAATTTCTGATGGCAAGCTGTTCCATTGGTTAATTGTCCTCACTGTTAGGAAGTTTCTTCTTAATTCCAGGTTGCTTTTCTCCTTGATTAATTTCCATCCATTGTTTCTTGTCCTGCCTTCTGGTGCTTTGGAAAATAAGTTGACCACCTCCTCTTTGTGGCAACCTTTCAAATACTGGAATACTGCTATCATGTCATCTCTAATCCTTCTTTTCTTTGGACTAGACAAACCCAAATCCTGCAACCGTTCTTCATATGTTTTAGTCTCCAGGTCTTAGTTGCTTAGTTTCTCTTCTTCACACTTTTTCCAAAGTCTCAACATCTTTTTGTAATATGGTGACCAAAACTGGATTCAGTATTCCAGGTATGGCCTTACTAAGGCTTTAAAAAGCGGTACTAATACTTCCATTCCTTTAATTAATATGTTAATCTTTTAAATAATTTATTCTCATGAACAAATGTCTTTTTTACATTTAATGTACAGATAATAGATTCCATTATGGCACTATTTCGTGTGGATTTTAGTGGTCGTGGGGAATTAGCTGAAAGGCAACAGAAACTTGCTCAGATGCTCTCAAGGCTTCAGAAAATATCAGAAGGTGGGAGAAATATTTCTCAGGTCAAACACATGATTTTATGTAATCTGTTTTCTCTTTTGAAAGTCCCAGTGAGACCGACAGACATAAGGGATGGAGTATTTTTAGTAGTACTCCCTGCATATTTGTATTCCGCACAAGGACACTGGCTTTAATTAGACCTATATAACACCTTTTAATTGGTTTTAATGATCCGGTTTAAGTTGATACTGCTGTTTTTTTAACTAGTATTTCTCAATCTTGGCATCTACCAGATATATATATTTCACTGCAAGAATTCTCAGCAATGGGGAATTTGGAGATTTGATGTCCACACATCTGAAAGTTAGAAAACTTTCCATAATACTATTTGGATCTTCATGCTTTTTCCATATTGTGGAGAGTTTTATAAGCATGGTTTATTAGAAATGATTTTTAAAAATTGTGGAAAGAATACTAGCAGAATATTTTTCTCTCTCTTTATGTCTATCCCATCTTTTGGCCTTCCTACTCCAGAATATAATGTGGCTGTGTTTGTGACTAACCAAATGACCTCTGATCCTGGAGCAACCATGACGTAAGCAAATTATTATTAATGTTGGTCATAAGTCACATAAATAGGATTTCTTAAATGATATTTCTAAACCATAGAAAAAGGTACTCAAAGAAGACTCAAGTTTTATTTAGAACCATACTAATAAGGGATTCTAGGAAAATAGTTCATCTGAATGTCAGTTCAAATAGGAAAAATGATTGAACAGTCCAAACTAGATATGTAGTTTAAATGAGTCTTTATATTTAGAATGCATATGTTAAAATGTATTTTGGAAAATGAGGTGAAAGTTACTGAGCAAAACTGGGCAGAATGCAACTACTTCTCTTGCCTCATGTGGAGAAAAGCCCTCCTCTTAAAGCTGTTATTTGCATTTAGTTAGAGGATTCTCAGATTGGACCAATTGGGATACTCCGTCAATGATCTTGAAAGGGACCAAGACTCATACAGTATCTTGTTTTCCCATTGCAGATTATTTTTAGTTTTTAAGTTCATAGCAAGCTTGCTACCAAAGCTTACTTGCAAATGATGTGTTCCTAGCTCCCTGCATAAAGACAGTAGTTGATGGGTCAGTTGACTGTAGTTTCAGAAATAGGAAAGAATGTTGAGTCAAAAACTCATTTCTTTTTGTCAAGCATTAGTTCTTTATACACATTGTCATTTGTATTCAGATTCAGTTTTGTGCTATAAATTGAGAAATGATTACCGTAGTTATTATTTTTTATGTTTTTGCCCCTCTGTCCAACATTAATAAAGTTAATGATCAGTAATATTTGGGGAAAAAGAGAGTGAGAAAGTGAGTGCTTAGTATAGTGGTTAAACCATCAAACTGCAGGAACTTGTGCAGGAATCAACTCTCATCTGAAGGCATACAGACAAACACACAATAATTAAAAGAAAGTTATTTTGTTAATATTGTTATGGCAAACTATATATCAATATTATTTCAAGTTTTTCAGTAATTTAGGGCCATATTTCCCACTTTGAATATAACAACTCTGTCTTTATTTAATGTAGCTTTCAAGCTGATCCCAAGAAACCCATTGGAGGCCATATCCTTGCTCATGCTTCTACAACGAGGATTAGTTTGCGAAAGGGAAGAGGAGAATTACGTATTGCCAAAATATATGATAGGTAATATATAAACTGATTGGTACAGTACACTATACTTCAACATACTCTATGTAATCACTGTATCTTATTTGGGTTCTAGTTTTTAAATGAGTTTGTAAATTACTTTAATGTAGGCATTTGTGACAGCACATTATAGTATACATTGCAGTACAGAATAGAATACAGTAGAATATAATATTTATTTGGCCAAGTGTGAAGGAATTTGTCTCCAGTATATAAGCTCTTAGTGTACATGCAAAACAACAGAGTAATAATAATCATAATAATGATACCAAGAAGAGAATTATTATCCATTTATACTTGACACTGTCACTTCTTGTTTTATGACACATGCTTCTTTGCAACCCAATTCTATGGCATTAAATGTTTATGTTTCTCCTGACATCTCCAACTCTTAACTTCTATGTTACACATTGGATAGAAGCATGTTGTTACATATAGCCACCCATGTTTGCTTTTTCAGCAAGTTTTCATCCCTCTCAAGAAACGGTATGCTACCCGTTACCAGCAGTGTATCATGGTTTCAAAGATCAAACTGGTTACCTCAATATCTGGTACTCAATGTAACTGAAAACACCACCCAGCATTGTAAAAAAATAGAGAAACATAGAGAAATGTTTACCCCTCCAAGGGGTTTATAAGAAAGTAATATAAAACTCCACAGATGGGGGCATAATATAATGTAACTTTCGATACAATCCTTTTATCATTGACCTTCATACAGTAGTCCTTGGCTTGCAACCATAATTGAGCCCCAAATTTTGGTCGTTAAGTCATAGTAACCATAAGCAAGATACCCACATGACTGCTTTGCTTAACAACTGCAATTCAGTTCTCATTAACTACCACATGGATTGTTGTTAAGCAACCACATGGATTGTTAAATGGACAGATCAAAGAAGCTCTTTTCTGAGGCCGGGTAGGCAGTTCCCCTCCATATGCAGAATGGGATTTTAGTTGCTGGTAGTGGGCCGCAGCCTGGGGGTTGGGGACCCCTTGATGTATAGGGTTATAGGATCTGGGGTGCAGAAATCCCACCACTGTATGGGGACAAAATGATACAGAATACTAACTCCCCCCCCCCATCTAGTGTTTTCTGGATTTCTGCAGCCAGTTCTATCATGCATAATATCCCTTAATTTATTTATACAATTCCAAAAGGAAAGTAAAAGAATGATTTTTTTTTACAGTCCTGAAATGCCTGAAAATGAAGCCACATTTGCAATAACCGCTGGAGGAATAGGAGATGCCAAAGAGTAGGCTGATCTTAGTGATAAACAGCTGGGAGATTCCCATCAAATTATATCAAAAGTTATTTAGTTCCTTGTTACTTATGTCTATTATTTCAAATTTAGAAAAGTTAATTTGAGAGGCAGCAATATGATTGCTAGAAATGTTATCTTTTGACATTGCTGAGCATATTTTCTTTGTTCACAGGATAAGTCAATCATGTGTAACCATCCTTTTCATAACAGCATTAATTTTGTGCAGGGAATTTCTAGTAGAATTAGAGCACCAATGCATTGCAGTTTTAAAGGTCTGGAAAAAGTCTAGAGGTCATAAGAATTGAAAACATTTTTATAGAAAATGTCTCAAAATGCTTTACGGATCCTTAAATGTTTCAAGGACTTTTAATGTATTAATTTTAGCTTTAACATATAGAAAGAATATATGAACCACAACTGAAAATAATTGACCAGCATTTAAAAATAAATTTGTCAGCTCTCTAAATAAGAGTTTATAGATAAAGTAGACTGGAATTAAAAATTGAAAATTGATTTTACTTAAGGAATATTCATTGTTTGCAAAGTTTAAACATTTGCTTAATTATAATTAAAATACCTATACATGTACTTCATGTAAAATCAAACAATTGCCTCTTTTTTCTTTGAAAGCAAATTATATTGTCCATTCCATCTATGGATGTGTAGTAAGCATCAAAAATCTAAGTAAATATTTTGTGGCTTATTTTTTTCTTGTTCTCTGTTAAAGCAATATTCATATATGGATCATCATTGATATATGGACCTGCTTTTCTTGAATAGAGTCACTTACCAGGAAATAACACCTACATACGGAACGTTAGTGGGAATTCTGGAATAACCTTCCAGAATAGGTTATTTCTCTTTTTATATTCTAACGCAGCAGTCAGAAGTTGAAAGCATCCACTTCCCATTTGTGAATTAGTTGCAGTAGACAAGATGATTTTTAAGCTACGATTATTGGACCAATACAGAACCTCAAGACCATTATCTATCTAGTAAGTGCCCACCCAAAACAACCAAATGTTTATGGGATCAGTAGATTATCTAATGTCTGTCAAACATTTTGGGCATAACAGTCACTGTCTTGCTACGGCCATACTGGCTGGACTAATGGGCAGGTTCCGTATACTGAGAGGCTACCAGTTTTCCTCCCCATCCCAGCCTTTTTTCATAGAGCATGAGTGAAAAACCACCCTTCTGCTTGAAAAATTATCCTGCTTATGTACTACGGTGCAATTGATAGGAAAGTCCATAGAAAGTGTGTAGCTACCATGGCATTTTGTGGCATTCCTACCTCACACCCCATTGTTAAGAAAAAGACTTCCAGGAACACAAAGCCAGCACAACTGCCAGGGGTAGAGTATCAGCTCAGGGCATGTGGAAATGAAAGGACTTCTGGGAGAGGAGGGCTCAGTCCTCCTACAATAGAATGGTAATCACAACCACTCTTTGTATCGTTCTAATAGCTTTCAGCTAGAAAAGTAAGCTGAATTGTGTAGGAGACAATTGTTTCTGTATTTTGAAAAAGAAAGGGAGTTAGTTATTGGGGAAACCAATTCTACGTTATAGATACTGGAACTATTTGTCCTATAAACCTCACGCCTTTTCGTTCAATACAAGCTGATGAGCATGATTACCAAACTCCACATATTTGCAGAGCACACATAACTCGACAATTACTCTAAGCAAAATGGGCAATTAGTTTTTCCACTCAAAATGTGGCGCTGAACTAAGCGATGGCAACGGAAATGCTACGGACTTGCACTTCCGTATTTCATCGCTTTTAAGATTGCTAGCACTGAAACTTGGCGTACATGTGTTTCAAGAATACACCCCCCCCCCCCAAAAAAAATTGGCTCTTCACGTAGAGTTCTTAGATAGCTTACGGCGCAACCTAGCGAAATGTTCTTAAAGCGCTCCTATGAAGCGTGATCAGCGTACGCGATCATTGCTCGAGAATAAGCGTAAGAGAAACCCTTTCTCTTTCCTCGGTAATTCAAGAGACGTATCTTACGCAACAACCGGACTGGCCGACAGCGTAAGAGGCGGCAAACCGAGGTGACGGCGGCCATTTTGTGTCTGGAGGCCGGAGAAGAAAGGCTGGTTTGCTTTTTAAGGAGCGCCAAGCAGTTCCTGACGCGACTCGGCTCTCAGAGGCTCCAGAAAAAAACCAACCCTGCCGGCTGTTTAGCTAGGAAAATTAAGTCCCGGGAGTTCTTTTTATAGCCACAAAGCAGCAGGAAAGTTCAGAGTAGGCGCGGTTGGGCCTCTCAGCGCTACCCTTCACGTAGTCGCGCACAGAGGTCCCCTTTTTCTGCTTGGCAGAATGCGAGGCTTCGGTGACCGAGGCCGCGATCGTGATCGCGGAGGGTAAGGAAAATCTGAATGAGGGGATCGGGCTTCTTTCAAGGGTTTGTCGTAGCTCTGCCACCCCACCCCACCCCCCTGTCTCGCCCCTTGTTTTTCCTTCTTGCTGCGTGGCAGGCAGAACTACTGGGGCAACCAGCATTGCCTGAGGGCTAATGGTGCTAAATTGCTGCCTCTCTCGTAGTTATTCAAGCATTGAAGGGGCACCAAGAAGAGGGGTGGGGGTTCTGCCATTTTGTCGAAATGGGAAAAAGGTCGAAGTTGGGGAGCAAGTTCCTCGGAACTCTCCGGGACTTTTTAATTAATCGGCACGATACTAGGCTGCGTGGAGAAGCAGATGTAATGGACGAGGGCTGCCAGTTTGTAAGGTTTGGGCTTTTGTGTCGTGGGGAAAAGAGCACTTGTTAACAACGGGATCTTTTCTCGTAAAGAAAAAAAAAAGGCTCACGCCCGGTGTTGCTTTTCTTTCTCCCCGTATTTCTAAAATTGCGGAAGCTTTGCCAGAAAATTTGATGCGGGTGGCTGAAAGATGGCGTCACAATAAGGAGGTGAACGTTTGACTGGGAGGTGCCAGATTAATGTCGGCCTAGAAGGGGGTGGAGAAGGAAGTGGTGGGCTTTGGAAGGACTAGTCCAGGGGTAGGCAACCTTGGCTCTTTTATGACTCCTGGACTAGGCGCCCCGCGGACAGATTTTGCATTTTCTTTCCTTTGAGCAGAGGGGCTTCCATAACATTACTATGGTTGACTTACCGGAGACTCTAACCCTCAAAGGCTATCTAGTCACTTCTCTTCTGATCCCGCATACCCTGTTTTTCTTTCTTTCCTGGTGAATAGCACAAATATAATGACTTTCTGCCGAAACCAGAGTGGGTGCTTTGGAATAATAAGCTAAAAATAAGAAATATTTTAATCGGATTTGCTTTGCATCCGTCTTTATTCTTGTCAGGTTTGTAATGGTGGTCTTATACTGTCTACTTATAAAATTTATCTGCTGCGCTAGTCAAAGAGTTGAGTAACTTAAAAAATCATAAAAATAACAATACAATGCTTATAATCAACAATCGCCACTCATTTAAACCAAAGGTCAGATGGAAAATCGGCATCCTTGCCAATATTGTGGCATCCTAAGCTTGGAACTCTTGGGTGAAAAACTCCCCTTAAAAGGACATTCTCATTGTATTTTACCTCAAGATACCTATCAGTTCTGATAAAATAAGTTAAATTTCCAAGTAAACATATTTTGGGATTAGTATTTAATTAGGAGGAAGTTATGAATCATTGATATTTTACTGGGTAGTCCCAGGGATTAGTTCCATACCATATGAGAAGCTACCTGAATTATTTTGAGAGATGTTTATTGTAGTGGGTGATTCTAAAGGAACTGTAGTACCATTATTGCAATTTTATCCAACTTTAACATAAATCTTTAAAATATGGGATATGTTTATTGATAATAGTGTGGCTGATAATTAAAATTCATCTCATACTGAATGGAAATGCTCTACTAAAGCAATACTAATATTTATGCAGAAATCATATTGCATACTTTAGTGCTTGCACAAGAAGGTGTGCTTTCACTGTAGCTCACAAGAGCAGGAGTCAAACTGATTAATTATTACATGGTGTAATCTATTCTTAAGATAAAGAGAATAACTCTTAGCAGCTTAACAGTCAAGGTCAAAGTAGTTGAAAACAGATCTCTCCTGCCTTCAAATGAAGAACCCAAAAACCCTGATATTTTTCTGAAATACAAAAGGCTGTGTGAGCACTACAATATAACTTGAGAAGTATTTTACTACTATATTTTACTAATACAAGTTTAACTGTGTTCATTAATATATACCTGTCATTGTATTTAGCAATATCTGGGAACATATTTCACTCAGTCTCCCTAGGTAAATCAGAAAGGAAACCCAACTACATGAGCTAAATCTATTTTAAGGCTACATTAACAGAATCTTGCAAGTCTGAAAGTACAAAACATCCCTGCTGTCACTTTAACTGCTTGATCTATTATGGCAGATTGTTAAGTTTCTTTCTCTCTAACTTAAACCACTGGAGTTCCTGCCTTTCTTGTCTGATTGTTTCCTAGGCAGCATTTCTTCCCCCTTTCCCTAAGGTCATTTCCACATTCCAATGTTCTTATTGAAGAGAGTGGATTTTGTTTTGGTTAAAATGCTTGGTTTCCTGTACTTAGTTTCTACATGGCTTTATTGATGTTAGGTGTTGCAATTAAAACTGCATTCTGATTTCCCCCCCAATAATTTGTTTCTCTTAAAATAGAATATTGATTAAAGAGTTACATTTTTTCTATATTTTTATGTAAAACTTTTGAACATTTGCCCTGTTTTGTCATTTCCATTGGAGAATGTTATGGAACTACATATACATAATATTTTTGTGTTCAAACATGTTTATTCTTTTATTGCCAGAGATAAAATGCAAAACAAAGAAAAGCAAAAAAAACCCCAACTGATTAACAAACGTCCAACACTAACAACAAAGAGAAAACCTTTGTGTATAAAAAAGAAAAAAAGCCCACATACAAATACATCTAACATTAAACATAAAAAAATCAACCCCAGCTGAATGCTGAAAGATATATCAAAAATGTAATATATTTCCTTCCCCTTACAAAATTGGTCTACAAATAGTCATAAACTTTTCCATCTCTATTTAACAGAAATGCTATATTATATAAATAAATATCCCCAATGTGGAAGTCTATTTATCTAACAATTGAACCAATCCAATATCTGTACACACACACACACATAAAACAATAAAAAGATTACTCAAAGTTAAAATTAAGTTTTAAATCCCTCTGTTAACTATCTCATTGTATTTAACATGCAGAAAATCCACAGTTTCCAGTCTCTTATAAACTTGTTTAATCCATTGTCTCTAACCAGAGCAGTTAATTGTGCCAACTCTGCTAATTCAGATAATTTTAAAATCCACTCTTCAGCAATCAGTCTCCTTTTTTCCTTCCAATGCTTAGCATATACCAGTGGTTCTCAACTTTCTCTTCACCGTGGACCCCCTTTAACTTTTGTGGCCACGAAACGGCCATGGACCCCCAAGACTTAATTCAAAATATGAATTATAAAATTTCTTCAAGCCTTCATGGACCCCCTGTGATGATGTCATAGCTTCCCAGGGGTTCATGGAGCACATGTTGACAACCACTGGCATATACAATTCAGCAGTCACCTTGTAAAAAAAAGAAAATCCTAAACTGTTTTTTAATTGGTTTGTACATAATATTTACAAGAAAAGCTTCAGGTTTCATTAATATTTGTATTTTAAATAGTTTCTGCCTTGTCAATATTATATTTGTCCAATATGATTTAGCATACTTAACATGACCACCACATGTGATACAATGTATTTGGATGTCGGTTGCATTTCCAACACTTACTGTAAATCCGTCTATACATTTTTGCCAATCTATCTGGAGTCAAATACCAACAGTCATCATCTTATTAAAAAAATCCTTTCAAACTAATTCAGAGGGATAAAGGACACCCCTGTCTTGTTCCTTTCTGGATTTCATGGACTTCAATATCTGTAAAAAGTCCAGTCCAAAATCCCATTTTTGACTACCTTTGACTACCAATTCAAATTATCAAAAGTTTTTTCTGCATCTAAGAAGATTAGTGCAACCTATTTGTCACTACATAGTAAAGCTGTGATACTAGGATATTTTATATAATATATTAATTAAGAAGAAAATGGATGGAAAAACTCAAAAAGTGCTAGATGAAATTAAACTGAAGGAAAGAAAACTTCAAAAATCACCAGAAGATCTTAATATACTTAACCAATTAAAACCTTTGCAACAAAAAAATTCCTTGTTGACTGTTTCAGATATTGAATAGAAACTGAAATACATAAAATATCACCTTTTTGAACATGCAAATAAACCAAGGAGATGGTTGATACATAAATTAAAGAAGCAGACAGAAAAGATGATGATAATTAAACTTCAGGAAGGAAATAAGACTAAAACGAATAACAAAAATATTCAAAGATTATTTTGGAAATATTATACCAATTCATATAAGAAACAGGAAGTTTCATTAACACATATTGATGATTATATATGGACTCAAAATCTTCCTAAACTATTGGAAAACTACAAGCAAATCTGAACAGTCCAATAACAACCTTTGAACTAACAGAAGCAATTAATAGTGCTAAGATAATAAAGTGTCGGGACCCAATGGTTTATCGAGTGAATTCTATAAAACTTTTGAAGACCAGTTACTTCTGGTGAAGGATTTAATGAACTCTATTTTACAAGGAAATTTTATGCCTGATTCATGGAAAGGTGCCTATATCTCTTTGATACGTAAGGAGGGACAGAACTTCACCTCTGTGAAAAATTACAGACCATTTTTTTTTCTTACCAAGGACTATAAATTGTTTACATCAGTTTTAGCTGAAAGAGAGAAGTTTTACAAGATTGCATACAGGAAGACCAGTATGGTTTTCTACCCAAAAAACAATTAAAAGATAATGTGAGAGTAATCTTGGATATAATTGAACATTTACAACAATGTAGTGACATTTTACATATTTTCAACACTTCTTAATATTACTTTCCAAAACACTTTGTGATACTTTTTGCTCGTTTACTGTATATAAATTTTATTGAATCTAGACTTGATCATGCATATTCAATGAAATGAATATCATTTTTCAGCCATGAGTGATTTTTCCCATTCATTTCAGAGGGTCTAAATTAAGCATGGCTTAATTGAGATCTGGCATATTGTATAGAATAAACATTTATTCACATTGCTATTGATGTTTTCCAACATAAGTAATTTAATAACACTTTTAATCTTCATAAAATAATGCTATTTCAGGTTGATCAACTTGAGAAAATGAAGTAATCATTTCTATCTAATCCTTTAAGGTTTGGTAGCCCTCTGCCTCCTAAAAAATTTGGAAACCCAGGAGAGCGTTTGCGTAAGAAGAAGTGGGACTTGAATGAATTACCCAAATTTGAGAAAAACTTTTATGTTGAACATCCGGAAGTAGCCAGACTCACTCCTGTAAGTTCTGCCTTTTCTTTCACCTTTGTCTTGCTTACTTATAAACTCCAGTTTTAATATCTCCAAATGCTGTAGCAATGAAAATGATTAGAATTGCCACCATTATAGTAATGAGATTTTCTATTCTTTATTCATTTTGTCAACGTAATCTGGGACTGTAAAACAAAGGATGCAAAAATTTGGATGCCACTAGGTGGCAGAAAAGAAATATTGCAAATGGAATTTTTGCAGCCCAGATCTATAGTCCTATTCTGGTCCATCTTTTCTGTATTTTTTTTTTTAAAATACATTTCATTTGCCGATGGCTTGGAGTGATTTTGTTCAACTGAATCTCCTGTCTTTCTTTTTTTTCTAGCTGCTATTTTCTAATTTTCAGGAAAGTTTCTGGTGTTGTTTTGACCAAAGTAGAAGTATTCCAAGTTCAAAATACATGGGTATAGTTGGAAAAAGGCCATTTTGAGTTGGGACACTTAATGTTAAATTTGGATTGGTTTCTTCCATTTCAGAATGTATAAACCTGTATAAATCAGAGTATTTCCAATCAGATGCATCATCTTCAGTGAATGCATCTGCAGAGAAAACAATTTGCTCTACTAATACAGGTCAAAACATTAGTACAGTTAAACATCTTTAGTTGGTAATTGATATGCTTGATTAGTTTATTACTTTGGAAATCAGTAATTCACTTTTCATGTAAAAGAGTACATGAAATATACCTAGCTTGTTTAAAGTTTTTCCTGTAGACGTACTTAAAATCCTTTGGATGGCAAATTTGAAGGAAAACAAAGTAATGTGTGTATGTGTTCATCTGCATATACAAGGTTATATTGGTAGAAGTTACAATGAATAAATACATGAAATGAATATTTTCATTTTATTTTTTTATTCCAATATGTATTTCATTGTACATTTTGACAAGTTTCTGAAAATGAAGTCAATAAAAGGAGAGGAGTAGTAGCTCTGTCAAAAGAATTGCTAGACCAAGACTTTACATTATTTATGGAGAATACAAAGAGATAGTAATTACTTGAAGTAAAAGAAATGAAAATTCATATTTATAATAAAAGAAACTATACAAATTCTGTTTTTCACACTTTACTTGCGATTTTCACTCTGAATAGTATGAAGTTGAAGAGTTGAGAAGAAAGAAAGAGATTACTGTAAGAGGGTCAGATGGCTGCCCCAAGCCCGTATTTGCCTTTCATCAGTGTAACTTTCCACGTGAGTATTCCGTTGTGCCCAAAATAACAATGTTGGAAGATGAATGGGTATGCTTAAATAGCATTATCTGGCTGGATATATTTAGTTCTGAAAAATTGAGCTTAATGACACAGAGTTTGGGGGAAATAGTTTTTGAAATTAATGCTATAATCTAAATTTATTTCAGTATAAGCTTTACTTATACAGCTATATAGATAACCATGCTGTTCATTTGTGTATTTTTATCTGTGTTAATTTTTAGAATATGTGATGGATGTCTTGATTGACCAGCATTTTACTGAACCAACTCCAATTCAGTGTCAGGGCTTTCCCTTGGCCCTTAGTGGGCGTGATATGGTGGGCATTGCACAGACTGGCTCTGGGAAAACATTGGCAGTATGTATTTTTCAGTTTCTTTGAATTTTCTTTTGTCTATGGATCTGTAAAAGTATTTTTATTGTGTTTTGTTCAGGTAGAATGTAATTAATTCATGAACAAAATGAAAAATGTAATTTCTTTAAGTTTGGAACAAGTCATCTCGGAATTCCAGTACTTTATGCTATAGAAAGCAATGGAAATTTGTGGTCAGCTGGTGGCTCTGTTGTTTGCCTCCCAGGGCTGCATCACTAGGTGGAGTGATAGTTAGTGCTACCTGTCTACTACTAGCCAGCCAGTTTTCAGAACTTTGCCAAAAGAGTGATTTCTAAAAATGTTTATAAAATAGTCTTTACAGGAAAGCATTGAGATAGGAAAAATGGATTAATCTGCTAGAAAAGCTAAGTTCTTGATTGTTTTCAAATGAATCCTCTGGGGCATTAACAAACAAGATAAGACAGAATGAGATAGTTAGTCTCTCTCTCATCAAGTACAGCCTACATTTAGTTTATTACTATAAGCAGGCCAGTTGTTTTAAAAAAAATACACGTATAACAACATTAGAACGGGTGCTTTATGGCCTATAAAGCACATTTGGCCATCACAAAATGTCACCACCATCCCCACCACCTGCAATCACATGATCACGGGTGCTTTGGCAGCCTGTTTGCATCGGTTGCCGACATTCTGTGTTCAAATGATCGACATTTGCAAGATCAGAGAGGAATCTGGCAGGGAAGGTTGCAAGCTGCGGCTGCTCCCTACTTGAGGACTGTCTCTCATGTCTGGGGACTGGCTGTAAGAGCTCCCTGTTGATCAGTGCCTGCTTGGATCTCTGCATCTGAAATTTAAGCAGGCATGGAGCTTGGAATCCTCTCCCTGTCCCCGCAGAGAGTTCCAGGGAGACAGGGATATGGGGCTCTGCATGCTTGGATTTTGGCAGCCAGGCTCTAGGCAGGCCTGAAGATTGGGGTCCGTTTCTTTTTATCCCCCTCAAAAGTTTTCTGCAGAGATGGGGAAAGAAAGACTCCAAACTCTTGTATCCGCTTGAACCTCTGCAGCCAAAATTCAAGCCTGCACAGAGCCCCAAATCCCTCTCCCTGCCTCAAAGAGGCAGAGAAAAAGGATTTTAAAAACTGCATCTACTGCAGGCAGTAAGCTCAAAAAACCCCAATCTGCAGCTCCATAGTCATGGAAAGCGATTCCATTTCCATGAAATCACTTAATGACTACAGTGAGGACTGCTGGGATCACAGTCATTGAATGAAATGTTCACAGTGTCTTGCTTAACTTCTGGTTCACTCAGGAACCAAGGCTTTAGTCCCAGTTGTAGTCATTAAGTGACTACTTCTAATAAATAAATGCAAAAGGTTACATGATCACATTTAACCAGTACAGCTTCTTCAGGAACAAGGAGCATAAAAATTATCCCATTGGAACACTAGTGCATTATTCCTCTTACTATTCTGTTTTTAGTATATCCCTCTGAGACTTAAATTGGAAGAAGCTATAAGCTGCATTTTAATTGAAATTAAATGCTTACTGTTGCCATGCTTAGTCCAGATCTTTCTTGTTTAATTTTATGTTTAACTTCTAATGTCTTCTTGCTGTTTTCTTGAGAATATAAGAATGGATATACAATGATTTAAAACAACTAATTAGCTGTCACAACTGAAATATGTTTCTCTTCTTTTTCAGTATTTGCTACCTGCAATTGTTCATATAAACCACCAACCATATTTGGAAAGGGGAGATGGTCCAATTGTGAGTATTATTATTATTATTATTATTATTATTATTATTATTATTATTATTATTGACAGGGGTCCCCAACCTATGGTCTGCGGCCCAGTACCAGGCCCTGGGAATAGCTGGCGAGCCCCACCCTACTCACGGTAGCAATACCGTGCAAGCACTAGTGGCCCCATTTGCGCATGCGTGGGGACACAAGCACCGCCACCAGCATCACGGTGCCAGTGGCCCATTTGAATTGTGGGCACCAACAGGCATGCTATGTGTGCGTGTGGCTCACTTGGGCATGCACACGCACGCTAGCGATACCGTCGTGTGCATGCCCATTTGTGCATATGCGTGCAGGGCTGCATGTACAGACATTTCCCTGCTGCTCCCTTCCAGACCGCCAAGCTGGAAATTTGGGGAACTCTGATTTAGGATTTAATCTTCAAATTGATTCACAGTCTGAGATTGGTAAAAACTTAACAGTTCAAATCTTAACCAAGGACCTAAGAGCTGTTAAGCTAAATACTGAGTATTGACGTTAAAAGCAGTTTCGAGTAGAGTTGTTATTGATTTTTGTGCTTACATGCTGCCTATTATATTACAGTTATGGGTCTTATTTATCTAATTGGAGATGGCAATTTTGTAAGCTGTGCTTCTGAATTTTAAGCACAAAATTTAAGTATATCACTCAGTGTTATGGATGGTTTCTTCCCAGTGTTTAGTTTTAGCTCCTACCCGAGAACTGGCGCAACAAGTCCAACAAGTAGCTGATGATTATGGTAAATGTTCAAGATTGAAGAGTACCTGTATATATGGAGGAGCACCCAAAGGTCCCCAAATTAGAGACTTAGAAAGAGGTAATTATGATGGACTTATATATTATAGGGAAATTGTGATGTCTAACTTCCTTTATTAAAATCACTATTAATATGACTAATGCTTGGGAATACGTGTGCATATGTATGCATAAAACATGCATGTCCAACTCTGGTGAGTCTCTTTTTAAAAAAAGTTACCAGTTTTTTTAAAAGGAGCCAGGATATGGAAAATGGTGTTTTATTTTCATTAAATAAATTGCATTTGCACAAACATAAACATTGTTATAGTGCATTTAGTAGTATAAACTGAAGTTGCACAATATGTTCCTGAAATGATCCATGTATTTCTACAGCCCTGTAAGAGACTGTTAGATTATTGTCTGACTTTTTGAACTTTCTTTCTCTATTCTGCTCCGTTCTTTGGAAGGTGTTGAAATTTGTATTGCTACACCTGGTCGTCTGATTGATTTCCTGGAAGCAGGGAAAACTAATCTTCGCCGCTGTACATATCTTGTACTGGATGAAGCTGATAGAATGCTGGATATGGGTTTTGAACCTCAGATTCGTAAAATTGTTGATCAGATACGGGTCAGTATTTCTTAATATAGTTTAGGTTTCTTCTTGCAATCTTGTTTAAAGATTACTTTCAGGATAATAGCACATTTCTTTTTTCAGCCTGACAGACAAACACTCATGTGGAGTGCCACTTGGCCAAAGGAGGTGCGCCAGCTGGCTGAGGACTTCCTGCATGATTATGTCCAGATCAACGTGGGGAACTTAGAGCTGAGTGCCAATCATAATATCCTGCAGATAGTGGATGTGTGCATGGAGAGCGAAAAGGATCATAAGTATGGATGCTCTTATCTTAACTTCAGGTTTTATCTCGATTCCAAGTAGTCCTCGACTTATGACTACAACTGGGCTGGAGTCTTAGTTGTTGAGCGAAGTGGTCATTAAGTAGGATGCCCATGTGACCTTTCCTCAACAACCATGATCCACTCCAGGTTGTGGTCATTAGTTGTTGTTTCTTATGAGTGGAAGGGAACTGCTTTGACAGGCAGCTTGGATTTTGGAAATCTGTGGTCCGTTTTTCCATCCTGCCAGAGGAGTTCAGTTCCCCTTTGTTAGCCAGCCCCCAAAATTTAGGCTTGCAGCCTTCCCCACTGCATTCCCCATTGACTTTTCTTGGAAGGCCAGTAGAGAAGATTGCAAGTAGCCATCATATCATTGTGGGGTGTTTGATAACCTTGATAAGTGCAAACAGGTTGTCAGGCACCAAGATCGCAATCTTGATCACAGACTGTGAGAGAGACTTTTTATGATGTCTGGAAGTACTCTTCCTAAGGCCACTATGACTACACTTTAAACAATCATTAAATGATAATAAGTCGAGGACTAGCTATAGAATCAATGTTTTTAAGTTTAGCGTTTTTATATGAGCTGTGATGGTTTAGTTACACAAACAGACTTACCAAGTTTTATAAATTTTTAAAATATTTTTATTCTGTCTTTTTTATCTTAATTGTATTTAAAAGCCTCCCTAAAAACACCATTAAGTCAGTGCTATCTGCTTTGACATTTTAGAAGTAGTTACCACACCCCTAAATTCCTTAATTTTTTTTTCTGTCAAAGGAACGGGTGGGGGGGAAGAAGCTTTGATTCACCCTTTTCAGCATTGTAGCCAATTACAGTAATTCATTGTAGAGGAGTGCATAGAATAGGATATACAGAAAAAGAATGAAACAGTATACTGTTTGTGTTTGTTTAAAAGATTAATACAGCTGATGGAAGAAATTATGGCTGAAAAGGAGAATAAAACTATTATCTTTGTGGAAACAAAACGGCGATGTGATGACCTAACACGAAGAATGCGTAGAGATGGGTAAGATTTGATTCACATTTTAACATTAGTGTTAAATTGGGAAAGACAGATTAGTTTTGCATCCTTCACCATGTTATAGTAAAGAGGTTTTAGTGAATTATAATTAAATCCTATGAAAGGATAGATGAGATTGACTACTTGAAAAGTTAGAATGCCATAGGTCATTTAAAATGCCAACAGATGTTATAAGGTTGTTATAGCTCATGATAAATACAGGTAATCTCTGAGTTACGAGCGTTCACTTAACGCTCGTTCAAAGTTTGAGCACCCCCCAGTGCTTATGAGCAAGTCCTGAAATTATGAATATTGCAGCACCACCGCAGTCGTTCGCCCTTACGAGCGACCGCAGTGGCTCTGCAACATTCACCCTGGTTATTCCCTCCCTCCCCAGCCCCGCCTGCCTTGGGTCTCCCTAGGCATCAGGCCTTCAGTACTCGCCCTGCGAACATCGAGATCCTTCGCTTTCTTGGCTGCTCCAGGCCTTTGGTGCGTTCGCAGAGAATGGAGGCCTAAAGTAGCACAAGATCACACAAGATCTCATGGTACTTTAGGCCTCTGTTCTCTGCAACAGAGAACGGAACCGAAGCCAGAGGATGCTTCCATGTGCCTCCAGAGGCTGGATTGGGGCTTTGGAGGTGTTTCCCAGGCCGCTGATGCCTGGATCTGAGGCCGGGGGATACTTACATAGCCCTCTGGTGGCCCGTTTCTGGGAGGCAGCAACCGGGAAAAGGATTCCGACACCCGGATCAGGCCATGGGAGGGTACAGAAGCGTTCCCCAGCCTCAGATCCGGGCAGCAGCAGCCTAGAAAACTCCTGAAGCCTGAATCAGGCAGTGGCCTGGAACACGTCTCCAGAGCTTGGATCGGGCCATGGGGGAGCTGTGGAAGCGTCCTCTGGCCTCAGATCCGGGCGGCAGCAGGAACCGTGGCAGAGAGGAGATGGAACTTTTCCAGGTGAGTCTGGCGCGGCAGGATGGGAGGGGGAAGAATGAGGTATCTTAATGGGTCGGGGAGGCCTTGGGGGCCTGTTCCATCACTAGGCCCTCCATGGTCTTCCCCACCCTGAGATACGTCATGTTCACTTAAAAACGAGGAAGGGAGTGATCTCATTCGAGGTACGAGATTCACTCTGCGAGTTTTTGAGTTACGAGTGGAATGGGCAGGCTCCATTTCACTCATAACTCGAGGACTGCCTGTATAAATGATAAAAAGAAAATAAGATAGTCCTTACATAACGATTCCTTCAGCGACAAGTTATGGCAGCAGTGAATGAATGGTACTTACATCTGGTCCCTGATGTTATGGCTGTTACATTGTCCCTGCAGTCATATGATCAAAATTCAGGCACTTGGCAGGTAATCCACATTTACGACTGCAGGAGCACTTCAATTCCCATACCTACTTATCTCCCCCCTCCCCCATCTGTTGCCCTTTTGGCCACCCTGCACAATGGCACACAGGAGTGGTGGTCCAGGGGCTAAAGTAGAGGTCCAGATGCAGTGGTGGCTCACTGAGACTGCTGAAGTCCTGGGCTTCCGCTTCAGCCCCAATAATGCTAACACCACCAAGGAGTGCTGTTGTGCAGGGTGGCCAAAAGGGCAAAGATGGTGGGGAGGAGAGTTGAGAAGGCAGTCCCTTATCTTGCCAAGATTAGGAGTTATCAAGCTGGCAATAGCTTGGATTGGGGTGTATCCTTGCTTAACAAATGGTGGGATTTAGTTAACAGCAACTAGGACTGCTGGGTTGTTGTTGCTAAGTAATGCAATCACATGATGTCGCTCTTTACAGCTGCATAGTTTAGAGATGGAAATTCCAGTCCCAGTTGCTGTTGTAACTTGGGGGGCAGAAATAGTATCAGTTTAGTACCATTAATTTGAGGGGATGTGAACTTATGCAAAAAAATAACATTTAAAAGATGAAAAATAGAAAACTATGTTATTTCTGAATTATTGCAAATTATAATTTGATTATAAGCAAAGGACAGAACTTGACATGATTCCCAAACATTTTTGATATTACTCTCAGATGTAATCATTTAAAATACTCTGTCCCCAAAAGTGTTCTGCACTTACATTAGCCTCTGTTTAGTTGCATATTATGTTAGTTCTGGTGGGAATCAGGCATTATTGGAATCAAATACTTGGTTTGATTATTTGAATTGATTAAAAAATAGCTCCAGTGTAGAGAAAATAAAAATACAGATTTCTGACTTCATGCAGAAAAAGCTGTTTCAATGTATGAAAAGGGCATCTCTTGCTTCAGAAGCATGATATTGTTTTGAAAAGTAGTTTCTCAGTTTTTTGTTCTGATTTCTAAATCAAACTTTTGTACATTCCAAACCAAAAAGTCTTCCTTTAGAATTCCTGAAAATTACAGTAGACACTTGGTTTACTAGTCCTTGGTTTAATAGATTCTGAATAGCCTGGGCAAATTTTGTATTCAGAATTTATCCTAATTGAATAGCCTTAACACCCAGAATTACAGAAATGACAATGCAGCTGTCAAAAATGAATTATATGAGACATCTTTAGATTTAACAGATCCCCCAAATGTATAAATTGAGGTTTTAAAATATTTATATTCATTTATATCATTAATTTGTAAAAAGGTTCATATTTTTGAAATATGTGGTAACTGAGCATGCTTAAAACTCTTCCTTACAGTTGGCCAGCTATGTGTATTCATGGAGACAAGAGTCAACCTGAACGAGATTGGGTGCTTAATGGTGAGTTGTAGAAAAAAGATAATTTCATTTACTCAGAGAATGCTCTGTTTTATTCAACCAACTGCTTAGTCCATCTATGTACATTTTTATTGCATAATGTAAACATGTGTTTTTATGAACTAGAGGTTTATATCAAGATTGTTTCTTTTCTTTCAGAATTTCGTTCTGGAAAGGCTCCTATCCTCATTGCCACAGATGTTGCATCTCGTGGGCTAGGTTTGTACACCTGGGCTTCCTGCCTGTCATTTCTTTAGATTGACAATTTTCTCCCCAAAGAATTTTAAAGCGTGACTTTATCTCATATATGAAATGCCTTTTTAACATTGATCTTTTTTTTTCTTTCATATTCAAAATCTCTTCCTGCTCCTAATGAACAGGCTTTGGTCTGCAGCAAGGCCTAGGCATGACTAATCGATCGCCAATGGGGAGAAGAGACGTCCAATTACTCAACCCAATTTTTCCACTATACCCCATCTCCTTTAATTCCAGCTTTGTGGCTGGGTGGCTAGGACTGAACTGTATTCATTACGTTGTTATTCAGAATTACCAGATGGTAGAACAAGCATCTCTTTAACAATCCTTTTTTGCCCAAATGCATTACTAATGTAACTGCACATTATTCTTAACAGCCCCACTTCAGTATCACAGGACATAGATTTATATGTGTGAGCATATTTTGCTTTTTTACACATATTCTTTTTCACTTTTCTTCCTCAATTGGATTGTTGGAAGTTGTAGTAAAAACTCTTTAAGGGGAGGATTATAATGAAAATCAGTCAGTGTTTCAGTGCTTTCATCTCCTGGATGTTTAAGCAAAACAATTCCACTGCTCTTTACATTTAATGTTCAAATCTCTACCTCTAGTACATTCAGAAAGTAGATTTAAATGGTGTTGTAGATACTTGAAAAACTTTGAAGAAGACATTCTTAAAAGGTCTTCAGTTAATGTTGAGTTCAGCAGGCTCGATCAATCTTTTATTAAAAGTAATCTCTCAAATATTTCAGATGTACTTTATAGGATCATTTAAAAGCTGATTCTTGAAAATGCTAAAAAGACAGCTGCTTGTTAGCATTTTTGAAAAACAACAAATAAGTTGCTAGTCTTTTCCTCACATAAAATTCCATGCCATCTCCCAAATTATCCCTGTGCTCCTCTAGTTCATGTGGTTTCAGTCTCTGTCTTCTGGGGTCATGTCTGGACCTATGCAGGTAGAACTTGGCCCTGTTAGGAGAAGGGGTGAGGCCAGTTTTTTTTTTAAAAAAGGACAATATTTTGGTTGGCAACATTTTGGTTTTTAAACAGGCTTGCTGTGTGCTGGTAGCTTCTTTGTGCATCTTGCCTAGACACTTAAATCAGCCCTTCTCACATATTTCCCCAAAACAACTCATTTCGATACTATTGGAAGAAAACAGTCTCCCCGTTCTGCCTTCTCCACTTGACTGAGGCTGTGGGGAAAAGGTTTCAGAGTCTGTTTCTTGTTACTAATAACATCTTGGCTTGTTTTGGGGCCCAGAGTTTGCTACTTCATAAAAAATATAATATCTGACTGGCAAATCTCTGGACGAATTCCTCCAAGTTCCTGGAAAGTGAAGGCTTCTACCTAAAACAGAGAACAGGGGCGCGCGCTTTTTGGCTGAGTCACCAGGGTTTTTCCTTCTACTCAAATGAACATTGCTCTCAGAAAGCTCCTTCCAGGTAAGTTGAGTGCCCCATAATGGCTTGTTTGTGAATCACCCCCAGGGCAGAATATTTCCCTCTGCACTGTTCATTAAAAATTTGGTTACACTTCACTCTGTTAAAGTCAAATCATTAAATTTCTTTTTGTTTGTTTTCTTTAACAGAAACTTTGATATCAGCTGCCGATCACTCAGTGCAGGTCTGGGGACATATCTACATTGGTGGTCGAAGCAGCTTTCTAGATGATCGAGTTTGCTAGTTTCTGCCCCTCCCAATTAACAATCAGACATTCCTTTGGGGGGCATCTCAGTGGATAAGCATCCCCAGGTAGTCATATTCCTTTTTAGAATGAACAAATTCTGTGGAAGAAACACTATGATGAATTTTACACCAGTGCAAGATAGATAGTAAGAAACCTGCATTATAACTGCATGTTCTCTCCCTGGGTCCCCAGCCATATAATATGGATGTCATAACTGCCATTTGAAGGTGAAAACTAGCCCCGCCTTCTCCTCTTTCCCCTCCTTGTTGTCCTTTCATGGATTTCTTGGCAAAATCCATTTCCCAATACCTTCATTGTTGACAATGTCTGTATTTCCTAATAAGCAAATGCTCTCTGGTATTCATTATGACCATTTGGCTAATGGATGTACATAATGGGATTGATTGAGGTCCACAATCTGCTCTTTGTCAGACTCCAGTGAAGCTCTAGCTATGAAGATGTGAATGCACACGGTGTGCTGTCCTGTCCTTATCTAATACAAGCCCTTTGCACCAAGGACCCTAGTTGGAGACTCGCGCTGCCCCCTGTGAAATCTGCCTTCTCACTTTTTGGTGTGATTCAGGACTTTGGAGTCTGGAAAGATTGAGGAGCCCCCCCTTGCTGTAATAAGAAACAGACACAACATCCCTTTGCCACTACTACAACCCACTTTCATTTTTGCTCTCCCTCCCACCCCCTTCCCTTTTATTTGAAATTGATGCAGTCTGGGCAATAGATGCAGCCTGACCTGTTGGATGTAATTTTTTGCATCTTCAATTTTGGCCCCTTTTAAGCCCTGTGAAGGGACAAAAAGTGTTGGAGGACCTGAAACGTTTACGTGAACCCAGGTTCTCAGGCGCTTGACGGCCAAATAGGCTACAGAGAAGCATCTAAGCCAGTTCACAGAGTGAGCGTGTGTGGAGACTTCTCGCTGCCATGGACCCTTGATGCATGCTCCCCGCGCTCCAGTGGTCCCGTGTCAGAGGGCGGAGTTTTCGAAAGGAGGCCGCCAAAAATAAAAGGCAAAGAGACGGGATCGGCTGCAGCGATTTCCCACAGGAGGAGGGAGTGTGCATCGGTCTGGTAACAAAACAGGGAATGTTTCTCATTTTTTTAAAAAAAGAAAAGTCAATCTGTGTTTTATCTTGGATATATTTTGAATATTCTCTGTAAAATGCAGATTTTTAATGGGTTGTTAATTTTTAATGTAATACTGCTTTTGTTTGTCAGTTTTTTTTATCAAAACAGTACACTAACATTTACTTGTTTTTCTGTCCTCATTTCTGAAAACTCAGATATTTATGACTTTAAATGTTTGCATCTGGGTTCTCTTTGTTCAGGTTACACTGTAAACAATATGTTAAAATTTTCACTAAAATGAACGTGGTGATGTGATCAAATGTTAGTGTGTATTTTTAAAAGGAAGATTAAAATAAGCTAGTTATCTATTTACACAAACTGGCTATCTTAAGATATCTTTTGGATATCAGGAAGAGGGGAAAATATATTAATAATTATTTTTAAACCTTTTTGGAAAAGGTTTGTGTTCTATCCCTTGTGATAACCTGAAGGTAAGTGATCATGTGTTGCTAGTTTTTCTAGACTTCTCCTAACAGAGTTAAAGTATTCAGCAGTTCTCTCTCTTACTCATTCTGGTTTGCTGCATTTGTAATAAAAACAGCACATTTGTTCCATTTTGAAATGCTGTTATGGAGCAAAATTGCCTGAATTATATAAGACAAGGTTTCAAAGATGACAATTTGTGTGTGTGTGTGCGCGCGTATGTGTGTATGTTCGTGACATGCATGCAGCAAAAGATGGATGAATTTGAGAGGAATTATGAACTGCTTTGACTTGATACTTGCTTTCTGATCACAAACTCCTTTTTGTGCACAATTATCTCAGTTTAGCCTTTTGCTCTGTTAGGAAGAGTCTATACTGTCTTTGTATTTTACAAATACTAACTTTTTTCTTTTCTCTTGTTACTGTCACTTGCGTTTGTGCTCCCCACCTTCTGTTGGCACATTCTTCCTCCACTGCTCTCCTCAATTCCTCACTGTGCTTTGATTGCCTTACAAGATGTGGAAGATGTGAAGTTTGTGATAAACTACGACTATCCAAACAGTTCAGAGGATTATGTGCATAGAATTGGCCGTACTGCCCGTAGTACCAACAAAGGCACTGCCTACACATTCTTCACACCAGGAAATCTGAAACAGGCTAGAGAGTTAATAAAAGTTCTAGAAGAAGCCAATCAAGCCATCAATCCAAAACTGATGCAGCTTGTGGACCACAGAGGTGGTGGTGGTGGAGGAGGTAAGAGATTGGAGTATTTTGACTGTTTCTGTGTCTTGGTTTCCCAGCACGTGATAATACTTCATTAAATTTGTTAAGAGCTTAAATCGTTTTTTAAAACAAACACATTTCCTTCTGTATATCTCACCTCATCTAAGCTTCTTTCTGTTATTGGGAGATGTTTCTACAGCCCAACGTCTGCATATTATGCGTCAGGAATATTGCATGTATTATCAAAGGATATATATTACTGGAAATCCAAATTATATGGTATTTCTCTGGAATGATGCCTTTAGAATTTTGGACATTTTAAACATGCTGGGAGAACAAAATTAGAATATTGTTTGTGTCATAACTCCTGCAGGCTAGTCATAAAAGAGAGTTTCGTCCTTGCAATAGTCTTTCTAACCTTTTTAATAATTAAAGTAGGCCTAGTGTGAATAACAGCACTCCATGATGTCATGCTGCCCACACAACCTCAGAAATGTCTTTGGACAGTACTGACTCAACGGCCCTTGAAAGGGAGATGAGCACCTCACCCTTATAGTCAGCAATCACCAGCAGAGTAAAATCTGCAGAGAGTCCTTTACATTTTACCTTTAATGTGAATAAATCTACAGTTTAACTAATCAATATATTTGTACCCAAAACGTCTTGCGCGTCAGGTTAGCTTGCCTATTGTTGCTGCTATTATAGATTTTTTATATGTTCTTGGATAATCTGATTTAAAATTATAGCAAAAACTGTAAAGATAAATAATATATTTCACAACTTATTTTTTGTAGCCAGTAATAGCTCACTCTACTCACTCTATCATGCCGGAATAAGACTGACAAACTAGGCCAGTGGTGGCGAACCTATGGCACGCGTGCCAGAGGCGGCACTCAGAGCCCTCTCTGTGGGCACGCACGTCGTTGCCCCAGCAGAGTAGCGAGCACGTGGCGTTTGGAAGCGACGGCAGGAAGTGAGCGAGCAAGTGGCATTGGCTCCCCGGGGATGCCCCGGACATGGTGAGGGACTGGCCCTGACCACGCTCACCCAGTCTGCCATGATCACTGCAGCCACACGCACCTAGTGAACCACGCCCCCCCCTGAGGGCACCACAATGCTGATGCAGCCCTGGCACTTTGTGATAAATAAGTGGGTTTTGAGTTGCAGATTGGGCACTCGGTCTCTAAAAGGTTCGCCATCACTGAACTAGGCTTTTGATAGGAATAGGAAATGGCAGCTTTCATTAACAGTGAAGTAAAAATGAGTTTCAATCTTTTGTCTGTGTTTTTAAGAATAAAACAGTTGGGTGTGTATTATCAAAATAGTAAAGAAAAACCCTATTAAGTTACCTGAGGCCTTTGTGATGAACTAGTAAACATGTCTAGTTGTTGCATTGAAAATGTTCAGTAGAAATTACTAAATTCAGGTCTGTCTGTCTGTATATATTACCAGCTGGTCGTTCTCGTTACCGCACAAGCAATTCATCCAACAATCCTAATTTGATGTACCAGGAGGAGTGTGAGCGAAGGCTCCGGGGAGTTAAGGATGGCCGAAGAGACTCAAGTAATTTCCGAGAACGTGATCGCAGTGACAGTTTTGCCAATGGAGCCAACAAAGCCTATGGTGGTACTTATGGAAATGCAAGTTCTGCGTTTGGGGCACAGCAAGGCCAATATGGTTATGCCCAGGGAGCCTATGGAACTGCAGCTTATGGAACAAGTGCTTATGGGGCAGAATATAGTGCTGCTGGGTATGGGGGAGCCAGCACTGCCACTGCTGGAAGAAACTCACAAAGCACCAACCAACAGCAGCAATATGCAGGGATGGGCCGTTCAGGCCAGCAGCCACAGCCTCTCATGTCACAACAGTTTCCTCAGCCTCCTGGCACCAGTGTGATGGGCTATATGGGTCAGACGGCCAGCTACCAGTATCCTCCACCGCCACCACCCCCTCCTCCTTCACGCAAATGAAGCCACTTCATTTAGTGGTTGTCAGTCAAGATTTGCATCCCTTTCTCATTTTTTCTGTCTCTTCCCCTTCCCAACCCCATCTCCATTGGGATGTTTTTCTTAATGCAGGTTAGCTTTAGAGTTTATCATCCAAATTCTGCCCACAAAAATGGTCTTGGTACACATTACTGATTTTTTTTTTAAAAAGTAGTATTGACTGGAAAACTAAGTTCCTTATGCATATTTTGGCCTTGCATGTTATGACATTTGAAATTTTCTCTCTCAAAAAAGAAAAACCTACAAGGCATATTTGTCCCAGTCCAGCTGTTATTGTATCTGAGGCTTATGTATGAAAAATTGCTGCAGAGAGGACTTCTCTAAAATATAAACGTTGAGAAAGATGGTGCTAAGGAGAACCTCCTTTTTAACAATATTAAATATGGTGTGATTTTTGCTTATTGAAGTTGAGGCATAGGTTTTCTACAGTTAATGCAATGAGGCCTTGGATTTGGCATAGGAGAATTTGGAAGATAATTTTTTGGGTTTGACTCATTTTTTTCAAACTTCTACAAAATGTAAACATAATTTGAGTTTAGCTAGCATTTCTGCAGCTCCTTAATGTCTTACCAGCCTTATGCATAGGGGATGTAAGTGTTGAAGATTAATGTTCTTTTCTGTTGCAATGTGTTTTTACTCTAGATATAATCACAGAATTGCTACACTTTATTTTTATTGGATTTTTCTATGGCTCTTAGATTTCACCCAAGGTATCACAAATGACATCTGCCCCATAATTTCAACTCTGAGGTTAAAGTTGTACCTATAACAAAAGGTATATATATATCTATAAAAATGGGGGAATCTATACAGTTTCTTGATGTTCATCTTTTGATCCATTTACTTGGTATCTGGCTCCTCAATGGACATGCATAAGATCCCACTGCATTAAGCAAAAGCGTTCATTTTTTCAATCTTAAAGGTTTATTTTAAGCTAACCAAAATCTTAAAATCTCTTAAGGGGATGGTGAGGAGATAGCTAATATGTCTTGAAGCTGCATTTATATCCACATCTGACTAGGCTTTCCAGTGGCTTTATGAGTGAGTTTCTTCAGCTGGCTCTTATACTCAGCTTTTACAGGTAGGTAGCACCCTAGATTTTAGGAGGAGATAGAACTTTAGCAAATGCTTTCATTCATTCTTGTTTTTTTTCCCAGTCTGAGAAAGGTTTAAGGGGAGGGTGGGATGGGATTATTCAAATACTAAAGTTTCTGTCTTGTAACTACAGGAGAAAGTTGATAATAGTTGGTTTCACCTGTTATGTTTAGATAAACGTGGCAGAAAAATCTCTTCTGTCCTAAGAGAGAATCTATGGGGTTTTTCTTTTTTTCAGTTTTGGGAAACAGGTTGTTAAAACAATTCAGTTATTTATAGCAATGTGGGTTTGGCTTATAAAAATGGGATTTAAATACGTGTTTCTGAATAAGAGCAGGCTGGGGAATAATAACCACTTGTGTGTCTGCGCACATCATACAGGTAGGTTGTTGGTACAGACCTTGTACAGTAAAGGTTTGCTAGTTAAATTCCTCTTTCTCAGTGTTGGTTTCCATAATCATAATTAAGATATATATTTGGCAGTTAACTTCATTATTGAAAATATTAGAAATGAACACTCATTTACTGAACACTGCCTGATTTGTATTTCCTTTCTTAATAAAAACATCATGGAGCTGCTGTTCATGCAGAAATGAATATACAGGCCTAGAGAAGGGGGGCAGAATAAATTCTTCCCCATTGTTTTTAAAGGGATTTGGTCTTCATCTTTGCCAATAGAAAATTGCATTAGGGCCTTACATTGCTGTACTGTAGCTTACAACTACAGCTTGGTGTGTGTTGTGCTCAGGCTGAGCATTAACAAATAATTGATCTCTGACATGTACAGCTTGTTTCCACTTACCAGCTTAAAAAAATGTGGCCAATGGGTAATATTCATTATTTGCTCAATAAATATACCAATATCCAGCCTATATTCCCTTCTACAAAAGTCATTGTGTAGGCTTTATTTAGTTAAAAAAGATACAGACTCTTAAAACCCTATGGGCTTCTTAGATTGAATCATTGGGGACTTTTTTTTTTCCATATTGGTATTTGAACACATTCCTGTTCTGTGAATAAAGACTTGAAAAGAGAGATTCATAGGTCTGTGATGTTCAGGCACAGTATATTAAAAAGCTATGTTACTATTAGTTTGTAAATTGTCCTTTTTGATACCATCTTGTTTTCTTTTGTAGGTATGAATTAAAAAACTGTTGTCAATAAAATTCAGAAATCTTGTTTTTTATTTTAAAAATACAATTGAATATTTAAAAATGTTTTCTCTAATGGCTTGAGGGAACATTGATAGTTTAGGAAAAAGTGCTAGGTCACAGCTATTTTAGTCTTTAATCACTTGAAATTTGGATGTAGCCATTATAGAGGATACAATGGTTAAATCATAATCTGGTTTCTTTAGTTTTGAAGGAACGCTTCTTTATAAAACTACTGCAGATGAGTTGTCTTCCACACTAAATAAGTTCAGAAATGTTAGTTACTTAGACCACAGTTCCTTTGGTGCAATCATGTTTTCTAATTGAAATGGTAAAAAAAAGGCATATGCTCTGAATTCAAATAGTGACATGGCAAAAGTGTCTTGAATCCTGAAACATGGACTTCATCTGCTTTCTTCCATTGTGTGCATTTTCATATTGGCATTGGGAGGCTCAATTTCTTCCCTTTTAGTACTAAAAGAAGAGGAGGGAAAAAATTAGCCCAATAACAGAGAGCAATGGCTTTTAAGTTTCCATATTCTTATGCTATACAAAGAACATTTAATGATGTCTTTAGCACAAGAAAGTACATTAATTTCTACACAAGATATACTAAGATGAATGGTTTTTTTCACCTAACTACTCAGAGCCAGTAATATCTAGCAATTCTAGAATGCAAAGATGGGTGGGGGGACAACACAGTATAATTGGAAGTTAATATACTTTTTATTTCCACTTGTGATTTAGAAGACATGGCTATGATATTCCCTCCAAAATTCATTTTTTCCTTCATACATCCATTAGTTTTTATTAAAAGTTAGGAATGAAAAGGTACAACTAAAGTGATGGGAAAGCTTCTAGGTTCACAAACTATGTGACTTCCTCATAAATAAAACAAATAATCAAAAATAAAATCACTGATTGACAGTCATCTTGAAGCTTTTTGGGGGAAGAAATATTCAAATTTGGAAGCAGAGCGTGCTGTGGGTTGCTTAGGCCCAGCTGAAACAGGTTTTGACAGTGTTCCCCCAAGGCAGGAATGCTGTCTAAAGTTGGTCTAGGAATTTTAGACCTCTTAAATTGCTCATAATCCAAGAAATAACCCAAACCTGTGACTCATAATGCCACAGGAGATAGCATGTTGTAATCCATTTATTCTTAATCTTTTGGTAATCCTTACCTTTGGTGACATAGAGATAAAAAAAGTCACAATAGAAGATTGTCTGTACTACTCCAGAAACAACAGCAATTTGATCAATGAAGTTTTCTGTGTGATAACGCCAGATCCAGTTGGCAAGATAAAGTGCACGATAAAGGCCCAAGAAGAAAAGGTAATGTGTTGTGATTGTCTCAGCTTCACCTGTTTTGCTAATCATAAAAAGTTGTGGAAGGATAGCCACTGATTCTAGATAAATTGAGAAAGTCCATAGTATCTGAGGAAGAACAGTAAATCCAAAATAAATATCCAAAACATTGACACAAAAAGTTACAAATATGCACAAGCTATTTAATAAGTGGTTTTAGAAAGCTGGCCTCACAAAAATAATGGACGCCATTATACTTAAGCAGAAACAAATATCTTACCTCTAAAGGAGTGAATTGGTAGTTTTCTAAAAATGAGAGACCTGTGACAGGAACCAAAAGGAACTCAAGACGGAAAGTATCCTTTTCACTGTCAAAAGTTTTCCGGAATTTTCCATAGATCAGGTACACAGTAGCATAGGCACAAAGTAAGAAAATAACCTACAGAGAAACAAAAATCATTGCATGCTATTCGTTAGATCTTCCCTGTTCAAGGGCAGCTTTTCATAGTTGGTCAGTGATACTAACTGAACACAGACTTTTAACATCTGATGAACTGAGCTGCAGCTCCAAAAATCTTAGGGGCCCAATAAAGTAAGTTAATTTTGAAGTTTCTACTTGATTTTATAACGATAAATTTAACAGTTAAGATAATACCTTTCCATACATTTTCTAAATGTCAAGCAAGTGGAGGAAAGATTTATAGCATGGAAGCAAGAGTTGCTATACAGGGTATTACCTAATTATTGCAGGTACATTTATGTGACTTGCAATACTCCAGCTGTGAACCTCATGTATTGTCTTCCTGGTCTATCCACCTTGCTCAGCAGTGGATAGAACAGTATAATCTTTTTCAGAGATGCATCAATCCGTATAATTCATGTGGATCTGAAGTATGATGTTTTTGTTTCTCGATTCTTATTTCCAGTCTGACCTGATTTTTTCTAGTATTGAATAGTTGGTTTTCATGGCTGTTGAATAAACACATGGCCTCCTCCAACACTTTTCAAATGTGTCAATCTCTCTCTTGTGCAGAGTCCATCCTTTGTACCGCATAACAGGAATGCCATTCCTGGCCTTTAGTACTACTTAATGGCGTTTTCACACATTGAAGTAAGCTATAGTTTTAATTCTGTAAAGTCCCTGAATATTGCGACTGCTTTCAGGCCATCATGCATGTTCTGTGCATTGCAATGAGAGGAGAGTAGCATTTTTAAAAAATTCAATGGATTAGTCCTGGAATGTGGGTCTCTATTTATTTCAGTGTGTTTTGTGAGTTTTATAAATTTGAAGATAAATTAACGATATGGGGACTTTAGCATATCTGTACTTTTGGAAGCTTGAGGGCAGTACCACCCGGTAAATTTGACAGTAGAAACATAGAAATAATTTGCAACATTCTACCTTTAATCCCACTGGATATGAACAGCTGGAAAAATTTTAAAAAAAACATCTATGGTGCTGAGCCTTTGCATTTGTTAAGTTAGTAAAAGCGAATCTGGCTCCCCCATTGGCTTTGCTTGTCAGAAAGTTACAAAAGGTGATCACATGACCCCAGGAGACTGCGACCCTCATAAATATGAGTCAGTT